TTGTCTCCTCAATACCAGTGGTGTGAACATTGTTGACTTTTATGTTCTGTACGAATGCCAGATCGACGGATCTATTGGCTTTGAACTCATGGTATAGAGGCGACCACGGGCCCTCCTTATCTAATTTCTGTACAACCCTCCGTAGCAAATCACCCTTGGCTTTCTCCACCGAAGCCCTATAACGTGACCTGGCAACTCTAAACGCAATCAGCGCTTCATCAAAAACGGTACCGGTTACCTGACGTTTCTTTAGTCTATTTAACTGTTTGCGCGCTTTACGAAAGCATTTACGTTGTTCGACTAGATAGTTATTCCACCAGTCGCATCTACGCGTACTAGTCACGGACCCGCGACCAAAAGCAACGTCGGCACAGTAAGTAAAGGCATCTGACATGATTTCAGCGCCCTCCTCGGCCGAGAGATCTCTGCGAGTGAAGTCTCTGGCTTGGGATGCAAATAATGAACTAAAAAAGTTCCAATCCGCACCCTTAGTCTTGTACCTAAAGCTATGATTGCAATATGTTGGACCCTGGGGTAATGTTGAAACAAATTCGTACACGATCAGGCGATGATCACTACACGACGCATCTGGTAGGACACGCCACCTATCCAAGCTAACGTCCGCACTAGAAAGTGTGACGGCAGCGTAGGATGTCTAGCCACAAGGTGGACAAACCATCTGATCCAATCCGAGCCGTTGGATACAAGTTGTTAACCTATAGTCTATACTCAGCAGTGCCCGTCTAGTTGCAAATATCATGATTGATTACCAAATGCGTACTAATTATATTAATTTTCCAGCTGTTGCCGAAAAAGTGTGGAGTGAGCGCTGCCAAAGAAACACGATCGCATTGAACGACTGCAACTGGTGTTCTTGTAACGTGAAAAGTGCATACACATGCAAAGCTCGAGCTTGCGGTGAAGTCGATATGTTTGGCCATTTTAATGGTAAGTTAAAATAAGAAACAGAAAATAACTATGACGACGGAACTTTTACATATTAAATAACATTAATAAGAATATAATAATAATCAGCTGACGCTGCAACACGTGTATTGTACTGCACTACGTGTACTTATTTTACATTTTTCCATTAACTCAGCATACATCAGTTTGGATTTGAACGTCGTCGCGGATAATAGGCTTTTTGCGTCGTGGAGAACCTAACGGGTAACCGGGGCTTCGGCTCGACGTGCAGGAGAAGGAACGCGGTGGTTTTTAGTCAGTAAGAGTCTGACACTCCCTCCCGCCTCACCCAGGCGGGAGCAGTCATTCGATGATTTTCCTCCCATAAAAAAAAAACAAAAAAACCTTTTTATTAATTAAATATTTTTCCAGTTCTATTAAAAGCATTTATTTAAAAAGCCTACTTATACCCACCCCGTAACAGAACCATATCTGAAAGACTAAAAACTGAATTCAAACAGCAAAAGCAGTCACATAATCTATTCCTGTTGTTCTTCATATTTCATTTACTCATATTCATTACCATTTTCAGATGCCATAAGAGATATGGACGTAGGTATGAACGGCCATGGCGTCTGGCGTTCGGATGCCGCTGCTTGTGAGGCAGGAGTCCACTACAGGAAGAACGAGCTCCTCTGCGTATGCACTGAAGACGGAAAATGGCCCAATGCAGTCTGCCGCGACATCTTCCAAATCCTCCACCCCGTCGAATCGACAGATCATAAAGAACCTTCTAAGGACACTAACTGTTCTGCAACTAAACTCTATCTCTTCGATTGCAACGTTTGCTTCTGTCCATCAAATGGTCGCATCGATCCTAAATACTGCACAAAAAGGCAATGTCACCAAGAAAACGTTGAACGGTCTCACAATACAGAAATTGTCGATGAAGTATATGCTAGCTGTACTCCTACCAAACACTATAAGCTCGGCTGCCAAACCTGCGTCTGTCTCCGCAACAATCGCCTCGTGTGTGACAATTGTACTAACGAAGAAGATCACAACTTGACCATCGCCCAAAACACTATTTGCTACCAAAAGACACCAGGAGTGATTTTCCAAAAAGGCTGTAACTTATGTCATTGTAACAAAAAAGAAACTATTTATTGTACAGCAAAAAAGTGTTTGCAGTATCACACAAAGATTTCCCTACCGCAGATTGAATACGATCTGGTGGAACATATTCAGGATGAGTACAATTGTATTCCAGGATCGAAGTACAAGAAGGACTGCAACACGTGTCATTGTTTCATACACGAAGGAGTGAAGTACTTTGGATGTTCTATGAACTCTTGCAAAGAGCCATCGAATGGTAATGACACAGAGACTTGTGTTGAGGGAACATCGTACCAAGCGAACTGTTTGATCTGCCACTGCGTTGTAGAAGATGGTGTGAAAAGAGAATTCTGTCACATCGACGATTCTTGTAAAACTGAAGACATCACATCACCTCAGTTGCTTGCTTCAATGCACGGGTACTGTGAACCTTTACATTTCTACCAGCAGGATTGTAATAAATGCAGATGTCTCGCAGATGGTAAGACTGTGGCGTGCACATCAAAGATTTGCTCCAAGAAGTCAACGAATGAAGATGGTTTAACGCTTTCCAAATCAATATTGTTAACCTCAAGGACAGATAACAAGTCTCAAGATAAATCTGTGATTGTGGAGTTTATACCTTTCGTCCAAAAAGATAATTTCTGTCCGAAAGGTCAGACTTATAAGGTAGACTGCAATGTTTGTTACTGCATGAGGAACGGCAATGCAGTGTGTACAACGAAGCAATGTTAAGTGAAATTATATCTGTCAATGAAACAAAGAACTTTGTGTCCACTGGTCACGGTTGCAATTTCCTTGTCACGTTGTGAGAGGTTGGATCACTTCGATTGCTGGATTACTTTTTTTCAGTTGGTATTATTAAAATGCGTAATATTTGGATCGGTTATTATTTTTAACCTTTGGTGTTAGTAGAGAATATAATAACAACATCAATAGCATATAATTGGCCACAGCTGTTCAAAGGCCTCTTCTCACACACAGAAGGTTTGAGCATTAATCGCTACGCTTGCTCAATCGGCAATTTAAAACTTATAATTCGAAATTATAAGCCCAGGTTTCCTCACGATGTTTTCCGTCACCGTTCGTCAGTGGTGTCTAAATCATCTTAGAAAGTACATATGGCTCGGAAAAAGTTACATTGGTACTTGCTGTTTGAACTCGCTTTCTCATGCATAAGAAGCGGGCGTCTTAAACGTCCGGGCCACCACGACTAGTAGATAATACATTTTATCACTAATACTTTCTGTGCTCTTCGTTTCTTTGTTCAAGGTAATAAACAGGTCGGTATGCAATAGGTCAAAATAAAACCAGAAATATATGTACATTAACTATATTTTAGAACGTCAAACAATCGTTCTTCGTCTTTTAACACAACATAAAAATAATTACAAAAGTATAACACATTTAATATGAATCATTCAATCGAATCTTTGTGCTATTTTCAACTTTAATGACATGAACTTTTATTCAAATAATTACTGAACTATTGTCATATATGACATAACATAACATCACGCCGAAATTTTGTCCCCAAAGAGGTGCACATTACAGCACTGAATACCACTGTACAATGTAACACCCACTTTTCACTATTTATGTTATGAGTCCCATGTAATATGTATTGTCATATATCTGGAAATATATGTTAAGTTTGTATCAATTACGTCATAAAAACATAATCTTACATAACACATGGTAATCGTATATTATTTAACATGTTTAATAAGTCCAAAATTAAAACAAATAATAAAAATATTAAGTATCAATTTACTAGTAATACGATAAATCCAATAAATGTGATGACAACTTATTTCTTAGTAAAAAATTACATTAAAATATAATTGAAAATATTGTACTAATTTGTGCGAATTAAAATCTTTGGGCCCCCGTCTTAAATACGATAAATTCTAAAACAATAAAAATGAATTGATATGGGCCGGGAAAGGAACAGATGTATCACCTGATGGTAAGTGATTGGCGCCGCCCATTGATACCCGTAACAGTGCAGAGTTACAATTGGGCCTTATGGGGTTAAGGTTTCGAGGATTGGGGATTTGGAGATATTGGGAAGGGGAGCGATTGGGCCTCCGGTAACCTCATTCATTCACACAGCGAAATATAAATCAAGTTCGGGCTGTGGTAACACTCCGGACTCATCGTGTACATAGCATCGTAACTTGTCAGATTATAATCGAATGCAGAGCCAATTCTTTTGAACTATTTAATAAGAAGAACATTTATTTTAAGTATATAACATTTTAAATTCAATAAATTCAAGATAAAGGCTTAAAACGACGAATTAAAACTATTACAATAAATAGTTACCTAAGTTTGAACTATTATTTCTATTAAAAACTGCTTAATAGGAGATCGGACTAGATATTAGACAAAATCACTTTTTTTTTTATTTTGTACAATCCCAAACTCCGGGTTACTAGATACTGATAACTTACAAAAGCCGAACGATCAGTAAGTATGTTTATCGTAAAACATTCTAAATCTTTGTCGCAAATGAGCTCAAGATTATGAGCCCCGGTATGAGTCGAAACTAGTCGGGCATCCTCGAAAAGATTATGAAAGCAAGTTATAAATAAATATGGTTAAAAATTAGCTCAATAGGTAATTATAAACTATAATGGCCAACTGTATTAATAGTGACGAATCTCAGCAATGACTTAATATGTATTTTAATTATAGAGAAAAATATGTCCTTTTAATATAATCCGATCTCCGATTCTTTGAAAATACTCCTAGACCTATCTAAGAATGAATGCCACCCGGCATTAAGTCCGCCATCGTATGTTTGTTATACAGAAGTGTTAATAAATAAATAAATAAATAAGAGATTAAAATTAGCACCAGAAAATTGATTGTGTTTAAGCTATGTTTTATAATATTTATGCAATGTTTGTGAATCTTGTGACAATTATGATGGTTGAGTCGTTGCCTCGTTGCTATTTGTGCGTCGAACGTCACAAAATGGCCGCGGCCGACATTTTGGCGCCATATTTTTTTTATACATTCTAAATTTAACTGTAGTGAATAATAAGATTAATTTTGCATTGAATCCATCTTATGAGCCAAATTATTGTAATTTCAGATTAAAATGTAATTCATTTTAAATTTAAACTTGCTTCTAGTGTCTATGACTTTTTATTGATGTCTTTCAAACGAGGCAACTAACAACAGATTAAATATTTAAAAAGATGATTCTAATTCCATAGCGTCATTGTAAAATCACTCTTAATTATATCTACGCAAGGCATATATTCGTGTAATCACGTTTAACTGCAATTGTATTAGCATTATTAACAACCTCTACTCAAAGATTCGTCTCACCATTTTGAGTTCTATTGCATTGAAATAAAGCTTGATCAATAGTAAATGTTTACAAACATTTTTGATATCAAGTGACATTATTGTCTTATTTCTTACGCAATAGAATTCAAAATCGGTTGTTACAACTGTAAATTGTAGGTTTATGGTAATAGAGTATGGTTTTTATGCACGTGTATATACTAGGGTAGCAGAAAATGTACGCAGTATTTAGTTTTTCTATCTAGATATTTTATAAGAAATAACTGCTTATAAATGTGACTGATATACAAATCTTATATAGATCATACGGACTAGCGGTTGACCACGTCAATATATTTTTACCGCTTTAACCCAATTTAATATTAAACCGTCATATAACCACTCAAGCCTTACCAATCACATTTATAAATAGTCATAAAAAGCATCTCACATCTCATCGAAAAAATCTTTGGATATTTCACAGATCATTAAGTTTAAAGGACAATAGCGTAGTAAAATGAATAAATAAAAATTCACTTATTTCACTTGTAGAAAAAAAACATTACTTCCCTAACTTCCCGCCAGTTGGCGCTAGTAGGCGTAAGGGAAACTTAAGGTCTCCACTAGCAAATACATAAGTCCTATTAAAAATTATATTAATTGGTACTTTTGCCAAGTCCTTTTAAACCTTAATGCATTGAAATTACGTTACAATTTCATAATTAAAAACAATAAAGTTAGTGTTATGAAGTAACGTGTTCTTTTCGATATTTTAAAACGAGTTTCTTAGGACCGAAATAATGTTTTCATTAGGTATTTGATGTAAGAAGAAACCGTTACTCCATAACATTATAATTAAAACATTTTACGTACTTTAATAAATTCCACATAATCTTAACATCTTATTATCCAAGTAAAATCCCACTATCTTAGTCAGATCTTCATAAACAACATCAATTTCAAAATCTCATAATAACACGGCAAAATTTGATCTAAACTATCCCAATTAGATCTCACTATCACAGTAAGATTCCACTATCGCATTTAGATTCAACTATCAAAGCAAGACTATCGCATTAAATCGCACTATCATATTTAGATTTTAAAGCCTCATTCACACGATACAAGTTTCTTGCCTAAGTCCTACAGTCTATGATGTTTTATTTTACGAATGCATGCAATCTACAATGAGGGCGGATTTGTATGAGTGAGTGACGCATCGTTGCCGCTTCGTGGACAGTTTTCATTGTTTGAAAGCCAGATACCAGCATTGGTCATTTGTAGGCGGCCTATTGTCATTTGTAGGCCGCCTATTGTCATTTGTAGGTTGCATACATTCGTCAAATGAGGAGTCATGGGCAGTAAACCTTTCCTTCAAGCAATATAATTATATTATAGGTCCATTTTCATAGAATTAGAAATCAATTGATTTAATACAACATTTATTTGGAAACTTTCCTTATTGGATTTAAGTCAATATTTGCATTATTTTTTTTATTTTGCGTATAAACAGTTTCATCTAATTTTGGATACTTATTGAATTAAATTATCGCTCGTATGTACAAGAAAATTATCGTGTGAATGAGCCTTTATTATCGCAATCAGATTCGACTATCATATTAAGATTTGAGAAAAATTTTCCTATTTAGGAGAAGGTATCGTTGACTTGTCTACAGCATCTTATGAAGGTGGCTCTTCTTGGGAGCTCCCGTAAATGGGCGGCTCCTACGTAAGTGCAGGCTGATCTTAGACCTCCTAGAATGTCCTTGACTGTGGCCCCTACGTCACCCCGGTACTCCACTTCTACCGTTTTACCTGGAATGTGCGAAAACGCATGGATGAGATAAGAGAGAGAGAAAGAGAGAGAGAGAATAAAATAGAATAATGTATGTAGTACTTTCATTTAGGATAAGTGCGTAAAAAAAACTAAAAATTCAGCTGTATTTAAAACTGTTACAAAAACTACTAACTGAAAATAAGCGCATAACCAAACAATGATTTTACTCGTATTATCGACTCTATAAAAAAACCTAATATTTCAATTATGACAACGGACGTTTAAAAAAGTCGGACATATTCTCTTGAAACAAGCGGTGGCTCCTGACTACTATAGACTTAGATGTAGAATACACACACATTGATACGAAGGACGTCTGTCGCGTGACATGGCATTAATTCATACATTACGGTGTTGCAAGTACACACACACACATAAATACACTAGAGACATTTTGGTGCTTCAATAATTTATAAGTGACATTACGTCCACTTAGCGTCCTTGTTTGACAAGATGACTGATTGTAGTACCAGTATCAACATAGCTAGTCCTCTAACAGACCAGAGGCATGACAATCACATTGCCAATGATATAGAAAAGTGTTCCAGAACGCCATCATATCAACACAATTTTAACCTTAAGTGAACTGATATATACCAAATAAACGCTCACCTTCCGAAGACCGGTACTCTGCGATACCACCAGAATGTTTCTGCATGGCAGTAGACGAGGACATGCCGTAGAATAGCTTGACCTTCCTTCCATCGGCAGTGGTGACCACGTCACCACCGCATTGGTCGTGGCCGGCAAACATGCCACCAGCCATCACGAAGTCTGCTCCAGCTCCAAATGCTTTTGCTACATCACCAGGGCATGTACATCCTCCATCCTGAGAAAACAAAACAACTTTCAATGTCCTATGTACACGTGGACCAGGGAGATTGAAGGCGCAATGCCCTTCTATCTTTAGTCCTCAAAGACCCAAAAGACCGGCAGTGGAATTTTTACTCTTCTGGTGATATGAGTGCTCATGGCACCGCCGACTGCTTACCAACAGGTGATCCATCTACTTCTTTACGCACTATTCCATAAAAAATATAATACCTACATATTTTTCAACAGTTAGGTATTTGACGAGTCTAATGTAATTTTCTAAAAGCTCAACATTTTTTTATTATTTCTTACTTACCGATATGATATGTCCTTTGAGACCGTGCGCTGCGTCCGCGCACTCTATGACAGCGGACAGCTGTGGGTATCCGACACCCGTCTTGATGCGAGTAGTGCACACTGACCCTGGTCCTATTCCTACCTGCAAGACGAAAAATAAGTAATTAATCGCCAAACATAAAGTCGCTACAAATTTTTGTACCTCTAGTCTACTTTTATCAAATTATATTCTCATCTTCTTCCTTTAGGATTGAAATCCTAAATTGAAATCCTAAATAAATAAAAAATTTGAATACTTATAACCAATATACTCTCACTTTTCGTCCATATTACCTATCAATCAATCCATAGGTATATTATATTCAGAAAATATTCTGTTCATTTATTAAAAAAAAAATTAAGTGACTTACTTTTATAATGTCAGCTCCAGACAAAATTAATTCTTCTACCATCTCACCGGTTACTACATTTCCAGCCTGAAAACAGAAAATATGTATTTTACTAAAAAAATCTGTTGCTTCATCACTACATAGTGTACAACAATGTCGTTATCCGCCGTCTGTCTGTCCCTATGTATGCTTAGATCTTTAAAACTACGCAACGGGTTTTGATGCGTTTTTTTTAACAGATAGAGTGATGCTTAAGTAAGGTTTATATGCAAAATACATGCATATTCCACACATGCGAAGCTGGGGCGAGTTGCTAGTTCACAATAATTCATATATTTAAAACAGAATCATAGACAATGTAGACTAAAAATAGTGGTGAAATAACGAAAAATAGAAAAGAACTAAATTATTTGCAAAGACCTTGGATTCACCATTAAAGCGAACGGGTCCTCATAGATCCCACGTGTGGGTTAAAAGTTATTTGGGGTCACAAGTAAAATTTACACAATTTTTAGACTTTTCTTAAAAATGTTAAGTTTTGTCAATACAAAATGTTCTCACATCAAAGCATCATTAAAGTGTTAGAAATAAAAATTGTGCACAAAAGTGGTCTATTTGATTTTTGCCGTTCATGAATTATAGGCCCAGTGTTGTTTTAAACTAAATCAATAGAGCTTTTCTCTAATAGTCCACAAGAGTAATAAGACGTAATTTTATTTATTAAAATTTTTATCAATGTTTACTTACAATGATAGTATGAGTGGGGAAGGCAGCCCGAACTTTTCGCACGTATTCAACGAAGTGTTGTGAGTATCCATTGGCCACGTCTAAACATATGAACTTCAGGTCCTTAATGGTGTTCAGGATCTCCGCCAGGCGCTCGAAATCTGCTTCTGCTGTACCTGAGCTGGCAGCTGGAAATAGATTCATCGTTATAATTTTCATCATTGGAACATTTCTGTCTACAGTTTGACACAGGTCTACCTAGAATTAGAATTAGATTCACGTTATATTCTTAACTACACACTTCCGCGCGGTTTCACTCGCTCTGCTCGGCGCCTATTAATTGTAGCGTGATATTTAATAGCCTATAGCCTTCCTCGATAAATGGGCTATCCAACACAGAAAGAATTTTTCAAATCGTTCCAGTAGTTTCGGAGATTAGCGCGTTTATGTTTGTTACATATAAAAAAAACAAACTCTTCAGCTTTATAATATTAGTGTGGATGAAATATGGCAAAAATATTGAAGCATTGGAGATTGTATTATGTATCGGTCTAAATAAAGAAATAGATAGAAGGCAAAGGGTTACGTTAATTCACATTGAAGTTCTATGCTTGTCTAAGCAACAAATTGACCAACTTGACCGGACTATAATACCTCACTACTATTACTCTGGCCTCAAAGGGTGCCACGCGCGAACCGTTTGCGAGCGGCTCGCGAGTTGCGTATTCGCGGAGCATTTGCCAGATGTGGACGCACCCATAGGAAACCGGCGTGAAACAAACAACCAAAGCAAATGTGGTGTTTTGCTGTGTGAGAAAGGTCAGCAGACACCCAATCACGCAAAAATGATAGCAAACCGCTCTTCTTAATCTTCTGGTATCGCAGTATCGCTGGTGTCCGCTGGTGATGCTGATCACGATGATCAGACATCAGTATGCTCATTTTATTTTGTTCTATAATAACTGAATTTGCTGTGCACGTCAAACAGATACGTAGGTAGGTAGATGCTATTAATCTTCTGTGCAGTTGATTTATTTTATTGAGATTGTGGCAATTGATATTAATCGCCTAATGTCAGGGACTAACTCCAATGAGTTGATGAGTTTGAGGAAAAACACAGCGAAATAAATCGTTGATCATGAATTAATAACACCACATTTTTTACTCCGTAAAGAAGTAGGCAGCGCTATACATATCTAGTGTAGAATGTTACTACCGTAGGGTACTAACCTACTTTTTATGGGCTCGCTGCCATTGCAGCGGTAAGTCCCCTCTTTGAGGAGTGGCTTGAAATACGCTACGGCGTCCTCACCTACCGCCTGACGCAGGTCCTCACCGGACATGGAAGTTTCGGGAGGTACCTGTGTCTGATGGGGCGGGAGGAAACGCCCGGGTGTCACCACTGCGAGGACCGCCCTGAGGACACGGTGGAACACACAGTGGGAGAATGCCCTGCGTGGGCTGAGCACCGCCGTGCCCTCAGGGAAGTGATCGGCGATGGCGACCTCTCGCGTCCGGGCCTAGTGCAGGCCATGATGCGGAGCGAGGGGGACTGGGATGCCGTCTCCTCCTTTTGCGAAGCAGTCATGCTAGCTAAGGAGGAGGCGGGACGCGTGAGGCAGCGAAGCGCTGCCTCCTCGCAACCCAGCCATCGCGAAGGACACACCGGGCGTCGGGGATCGCGGGACGATCTCCGGCCACCGTAAGCGCGGGCCTGCGGACGGCGAGCATGGGTGGCTCCCCGTCCGACCAGAAACAGACCCGAGCGTACGGCGCGTCGCGTTCCGCGCGCGCCTCAAAGAGCCATCAGACCACCACAGATGGGGCCCAATAGGGCCGATGCCGATTCGGAGTCGCGGAGAACCTAACGGGTAACCGGGGCTCCGGCTCGACGTGCAGGAGAAGGAACGGGGTGGTTTTTAGTCAGTAAGAGTCTGACACTCCCTTCCGCCTCACTCAGGCGGGAGCAGTCATTCGATGATTTTCCCCCCTTAAAAAAAAAAAACCTACTTTTTAAACATTTCATAATAGGTGAGTGTTGAGACAGGTGCCTCAACATACCGTACACTGGATGGAACCAATTACCGTACACTAGATAGAATTCTTATCTCTGCACTACTACTGAGTTGAAAATCGCACTTTATACAGATATATTAAGTGCGGAATTCCATTAAATACCGACTTAATTCAGTCTTTAATCAAAAAACTTACCCATCTGTTGTAAGCATTCTGGATGCTCCTCAGCGAACTTCTTCCATTCGTCAATAGTGTAATACTTGTGAATGCATGTGAATAGCCCGTGCTGGAAACATAAAGGTACAAATTAATATAAAGCTATATTTATGTACTTACATGACCGACGTCAAGCAACGCTTGTGTTGTGTTTCGTCGTGTGAGTGAGGTTACCGGAGGCCCCCCCCTCCCTAGTTTTCCGAACCCCCGAATCCTCCACAATCCTCAAATTCCCAATTCCCAAAAGGTCGGTAACGCACTTGTAATGCCTTGGTGTTTCGGATGTCCATGGGCGGTGCCGATTGCTTACCATCAGGTGATCCGTAGGATCGTTTACCGGCTTAGGCTATAAAAAAAACTTACAAAAAATGTAAGCGCGCCTAACTCCTAAACGACTGCACAAAATTGGGTAAAACCCTACGTACATTTTTTTTTTGTATCCGTAGTTGAGAAGAGGAATAAAAGTTTAACTTGCCTAAATGTAGAAATCAGTAGAATATATAGCATACGTGTGTAAAGTTTTTTTTTATGGAATAGGAGGCACACGAGCAGACGGATCACCTGATGGTAAGCAATCAGTGGCGCCAATGAACAACCGCAACACCAGAGGAGTCACTGGTGCGTTGCCGGCCTTTTAAATAGGAATACGCTCTTTTATTTATTTATTTATTTTATTTTACACTTAAATGCACACAAAATAAGGTACATAAGGCGGACTTAATGCCATATGGCATTTTCTCCCAGTCAACCTTTGGATTAAATGTAGAGTCAGCGAAAATGGGCCTGTGTAATATCCAAAAAAAAAAAAATCTTTTCTTGAAGGTTTGAAGGTTGTATCGGTTGGGAAATACCGCCGACGACAGATCATTCCACAGTTTTGCTGTGCCAGGCAGAAAGCTAATAAAGCAAAGTAAATTCTAATTCTAATTTTAAATAGACCTTATTTTAAGAATTGTTCAACCAAAATTTTTAATGTTTAATATTTTTTTATTTGACTTATTTTACATTGTTATGTTATGATTTGGATTTTGATATTGTAAGTATTTCTTTTGTATTTTCTTAACATTTCTGTAATTTAATTTAATCTAATTTCATTCAATTGCTATAAATGTTTGTATGGGCATGATGTGATTCCCTTTAATTAAAGGATCACAAGGCTATTGTAACGTGTGGTGGATAATTTTTTTTGCATGTAAGTGTATCTTTTGTTGGGAGTCCAAATAAATAAAAATAAAAATAAAATTGAAGCAGAAAATCTGTTTTGAAGTATTCCTTATCATATCCTGTCGGAAACAAATACTGAGACAACTAAATAATATCTAGCTAATACTTCTCTGTTTATCTCTTTGTGTAATATAAATTACCAAATATTTTGCCCCATTGCTTTTTCTTTGTTCTTTATTAAATTCCAAGAAGGTTCTTATGAATAGAACTATTATATTAACACAGCGACATCTGTCGGATCAGCTAGTTAATTATAATATTGTAACTGTAGATTAGACACATAGGTACATAAGGCTCTACTGTTCATTATACACTAACATACATACATTTGTATGCCGGAATACTGAAACGTTACTCAATTTTAAGTCGTGCTCAAATATCGTGCCATCTCTGTCATTTTACAAAGAATTTGTAGAGATAGAACTATGCTTAAGCACGACTTAAAATTGAGTAGCGTTTCAGTATTCCGACATTAGTCATACATATTTGATATTTCAACCATACGGTATGCTACTCATAATTTTGTGCGCATACCTACACAATACACATAAATCAACATAACATAACATCACGCCTTTTATCCCCGAAGGGGTAGGCAGAGATGCACATTACGGCACTTAATGCCACTGTACAATGTAACACCCACTTTTCACTATTTTATATTATGAGTCCCTTGTAATAGAGGGTGAGCCTATTGCCATATACCGGGCACAATACCAGCCTCCGTGCTACTATTGAGAATTAAAAAAAACAGTACAGTAGTACTTTGCGGACCCGAGAATCGAACCCGAGACCCCTTGCCCGGCAGTCGCACTTGCGACCACTCGGAGCAGCAATAGATTTTCAGATAAAACAACAGGATTTTTACGTACAATGTCTTGGCTAGAAGGTAATGTAATGTGTATAGTATCTAATATATGCTGCCGCGGAGTACCCAACGGGTAACCGGGGCTCCGGCTCGAAGTGCAGAAGAAGAAACGGTGTGGTTTTTAGTCAGTAAGAGTCTGACACTCCCTCCCGCCTCACCCAGGCGGGAGAAATCATTCGATGATTTCCCCCCCCCTTTTAAAAAATCTACTATATATTCTACTATATGTATGTATGTCATAGACACTATACTGTGTTGTACACACACTCATACATAAATAAACATTGCATTCATAAATATTTAGATTATACTCTGTCATGTCTGTCGCGTAAAAATTGTAAGGGTGCGCAGGCGCACATTGTTTAATATACATAATAGCAACTGTCTCGACTAACTTTAAAATTAAAAATTAATTTCATTTAATAAACATGATATTATTTTAGATGTTCCTATCTGTATTGATGGGCTTTTTTGACCTCAAATTGAATAATCTTTACGGAGCCCTGTTGACTAGAAAATAAGGGTATTATCAGACTTTATACTGCTTAAATCTACCCCGGTAGCAAGTCTCAAAAGTAGCCCAAAATATTGTTATTCTTAAATCAAAATGCCTTTGAGATATTCGACCCTAAGAGGTTCAATATTATACACAAAGCTTGATAAACTTTCAAAGTAACATAACGTCACGACTTTCATCTCCGAAGGGGTAGGCAGAGGTGCACATTAACCTTTTCACCTTTCACTGTTTATATTATGATCCCAATTAATAGGAGGTGAGCCTAACCGGATACAATTCCAAATGCTACTATTGAAATTTTTTTAGAAACCGAGTAATACTTTGCCCGATCCAGGAATCAAACCCGAGACCCCTTGCCCGACATTCGCACTTGCGACCACTCGGCCAACGAAGCAGTCAAATAAAAATGCAACTTTACATACATACATACATAACTTCACGCCTATCTTCCATGGGGGTAGGCAGAGACTAGGGAACGCCAATTACTACGATTCCTACATACCTCTTTCGCTTCATAAACAGTCATCAATCTTTTCAAGCATGCTCGTCGGTTAAGGGTACTTTTAATTTGGCCCTTCTTTAATATATCGCCAATCTGGTCACTATATGTCCGTCTAGGGCGCCCCCTTCGACGGCCCCATTCATATCCGCTCTGTATACCTACTTCTTTCGTTACTCTAATTCATCATCATCCTTTCTACATGTCCAAAATATATCCTTTATAAATAATAATACGTAATAACAGTAGCATTAAAAACATAACCGAATTAACGTGAACAATAACGTCTCTATAACCTTTTCAGAGAATAAATTAATTCTGAATACTTAACAGAACCAGTCAGTGTATACATGCCCTAGTCATTATATACAGGATGACGTATATTTCCTAGAACCGTTGTTATCTCGGTGCGTATTTGATTTGTCGTGACAACTGACTACACTACTCATTATACGTATTAGAGCTCACACATAAAACTGCGATGCCACGTCGCATTGCAAAAATGTGCGAATTGATTCCCATCGTGCATCAAAATTTTATATTCCCAAAATTTTCTTTGTTTCTTTTTCCTGTATCTCCTAAGCAATAACAGAAGTGCATACTTCTTTTTACGATCCATGTCATAACCTAGTTTTCAATTTAACTCGTCGAGTACCTGTTTTGTAGACACAATTATAGAACAATAGGTTGCGGTCACCGGTGACCGCTTGGTGTTTGACAGTTTAAAATACGTTTAGTACGGTTGACTGTCGTCGAAGGAATGGTCACCCTGGAAGACGCCTTGTCGCACGAAATCGTATCGCAGCAATTTGCATCGTAATTTTTTGCGTTGCAATTTCGCATCGCATCGCAGTTTTGTCTATGAGGTGCAACGGCAACACTAATGAGGGGCAACGTTTTTGCTTACTAGATGGTGTTAATGTTGCTTGACGTCTTATAGAGAGTGAATTAGTGCATACTAGCTAATTGATTGAAAAATTGACTGTGGCATTAGGAATAATGTCAAAGTATAGGACAGTCAATTGTTGACGGCTACAGCTAGTCCGTGTTTACTCTTGAATCCAATTCCGATCGATCGACATTGTTATTGTGCAATATCGTACTCTTGAGTTTTAACACTAGCGCCCATTGCATCCATACTGCGTGGATATTTTATTACGTGGATACTTAATGGTATTGAGTTTGATTTTATATTCCGTACTCTGAATGCTATTTTAAAAGCTAAGATAAGGGTTGTACAGTTTTGACATTGAATCATCGTTTAGTTTTTATTGGATTGGAATTGCATTGACATTGAGATTGGTTTCAATAGTAAGCACCCTGGTTGGATCAATAGAAGCACACGCTATATAATCGTCATTAATTTGTGAGCAAAAAACGGTACCACTCATTCTATTCTTGTATCGGTTAAACTGTCAAACACCAAGCGGTCACCGGTGACCGCAACCTATTGTTCTATAATGACGGTACTCGACGAAATAAATAATCCTTTTTTTCATATTACTCAATAAAAAGGACTTTTCCAAAGCCTACATGATGCTAACAAACAAACAACCAAATCTTGATAGCAGTTTTGACAGTAGAAGTATTAAGACAACATGACTTAACCCACTCGAGGCGCCATCTGGTGTGAGCAAAAAATTACAATTTTTCTTTTGCGTATAATTATTTTCTTCTTCGTAAATATTAAGTAGTGATTGTAAAAATAATATTGTTAAGGCTTAATAATATTATCCTAATAGTAAAATGCGAGCTTTTTTTCTGAGGGGGAAAATCATCCAATGACTTCTCCCGTCTTGAGTTAGGCGGGAGGGAGTGTCAGATTCTTACTGACTAAAAACCCACCCCGTTCCTACGTTCCTACTCCTGCACTTCGAGCCGGAGCCCCGGCAACCCGTTAAGTCTTCTGCAGCTGTAACGCCTGTGGTACAGATTTAATTCTATACAGGCATTGTATTGTAACCTACCTACTTAGAACAGTTAATTAATAAGCTTAGATTATGTATATGTGAACAAAATGGGAATAAATATATTTGTTTGTTGTCTTCTTACCTTAGAAAGTTCCCGTGCCATTTCGAAAGTGCCTACGGTGTCCATATTGCTTGCCATGACAGGGACTCCCTTATACGTCTGTCCCGAGTTACGGAATGTGATCTCCCTATACAAATCCACCTGGAACAAATATAAATATTTTTTTAGAAAGTAGTACTTAGATATTTACCTCATAATAATGTTTTTAATACAGAGGGGAGGGGTTCGAGTTTGTCTTACGTTTAAAGTAATCGTAACGAGAACGCGTTCGGCGCTCTGATTGGTCGCTTCATTGGCGCCAGCCAATCACAGTGCGGAACGCGTACTCGTTTCGAATACTTTAAACGTAAAACAAACTCGTACTAGGGCCTCAGGGCTGCTCATGAGCACTCGCAACTCTAGAAAAGTAACGAGTGCGTTGGCAGCCTTTATGCCTTGTTTGCACGACGCGCATTTTAGTCGAGTTGCGAATATTTAGTAGTTGTCTCTCACTTCCATTTTGGGACAGCAGAGAGAGAGAACTGCTGAATATTCGCTACTCGACTAAAATACTAGCGTAGTGTGAACAAGGCATAAGAGAGAGTTGTATGGGTCTCTAGTAATGTATAACACAAACGCAAAGTTGTAAGTCCCTATTGTTGTCTCCACCACGGGTGTGATACCAAAGCACCTGCACAATAATCTGAAACTCATAGACCTAAAAGATACTACCTATACCACACTACAAAAAGCAGCCATATTAAATACATGCAGGATAGTCCGAAACTTTATGCAGTTGGAAAAAGACACCACAAACATAATTTCACACCACACCCTATATTCACTTGGCCCTGGCCCGTGAATGTAGGTGAATACCAGCTTTCAGAGCTGAGAAAAAGTAAACTACCCAAAAATAATAATAATAAATTTTTATTTGGAACAATATAGGAACCATTTTATGTTAGTATGCGTCGAGTTTATATCTTATAGTATAAAGGCAGTAGGGACAATTACATTATTATAAGAAATGCCAACAATTTTCTCATTTCGCCTGTGACGTCATGCCCCATTTGTGGGCGTGTTGCCAACTCGATGTCCACGTAATAGGTACCATGTTACTGTACGTATACTCTTGCTTTCTATTGCAAACTTAAACGAAACATCCCGACTTTTATTATGGTACATTATAAACAGAGTAGAACACATTTGTCGAATGACTGAAGAGATATTTAATAGAAACTCGGTAGGAGCGTCCTCTGATAAACTTGGTCTGTTAATAATGCCTGCCAAATTCATTACCTCTTTTGTAAAGGAGAAAAAAGCAAAATAATTTATTCATTCGTTTTCCAAATCACTAATAGACAGAGAGAAGCGGCGATAGACTTTATTGTAATAATGGTAATTTAAAGGCAAAGGTACAATTGATTACCGCTAGAATGCCATAGCTAGTCCCATGTAATAGGGGTAGTGTTTATCGGTTATCGCTATGGTACACCGAGCAGTCCCCCTTGTTAGACCTAGACAAATAGCATTTAATAAACCTTAGTCGAACTAATTGACACTAAGGGCTCGTACACAAAACTGCGATGCGACGTCGCATCGCAAAAATGTGTGAGTTGGTGCTGCATACTGCATATGTGATGCATACTGACAATTCATAAAAATAGTGCTTTTATACAAGAAAAAGGAAACTCTTTGTTTTAATAAAGAAAGAAATGCTCGATGCCATAAAGATAGATTGTCTACTTTAGAATGAAAGTATTAAATTATAAAATTACCTACTATTGGAATCCAACTACTGACTATTGTATTGAACAGTTGAAACAATTTATTTTTGATAAAGGAAAGTACCCAGTAAAGACAGGTACGATCGATTACCGCTAGAATGCCATAGCTAGTCCCATGTAATAGGGGTAGTGTTTATCGGTTATTGCCATGGTACACCGAGCTGTCCCCCTTGTTAGACCTAGACAAATAGCATTTAAACCTTAGTCGAACTAATTGACACTAAGGGCTCGTACACAAAACTGCGATGCGACGTCGCATCGCAAAAATGTGCGAGTTCCGTCTATGCATCGCAAGAACTTGCGACTTGATTCGCACATCAAAATCTTATCTTCCCAAAATCATCTTTGTTTCTTTTTCCTGTATCTTCTAAAAGCAAAAGCAGAAGCGCACACTTGTTTTTACGATCCATGTCACGACCTAGTTTTCAATTTAAAATACGTTTAGTACGGTTGACGGTCGTCGAAGGAATGGTCACCCTGCGATACGCCTTGTCGCACGAAATCGCATCGCAGCAATTCGCATCGTATTTTGCGTTGCAAATTCGCTTCGATGTTAATCCTACTAGAGGTATAAATGCGATAGCTTGTTTGTTTATTTGTTTGTTAGTCCTTCACGTGGAAACGGCTGAAGGGATCGGGATGTCATTTGAAACAAAGGTAGATTATGGTCCGGAATACCACGTAGGCAACTTTTATCCCACGACAACACGGGCAAACTCGCTGAAGGATACTAGTAAAAAAAAAGAATCATCAAAATCCCTCCACAAAAGCCGGAGTAATCGCATAACATACACACAAAAAACAAATTGATAACCTCCTCCTTTTTGGGAGTGGGTTAAATAGAAATATAGTAATCATCCACTGTTGAACAAAAGCTTAGCTCTTAAGAGGCGCTTCGCTCTAATCCCCATGATTGGTAGGCGATTCGGAGATAACTAGTCATAGAAAATTTAGATGATAACATTTATGGGACAACTCTTTTTTATGGTATAAGCCGGTAAACGAGCGGACGGATCACCTGATGGTCAGCAATCGGCGCCGCCCATGGACACCTGGAACACCAGAGGCGTTACAAGTGCGTTACCGGCCTTGTGAGAATTGGGAATTTGAGGATTGTGGAGACTGGGGAGGTACCTAATTGAGCCTCCAGTAACCTCACACACACAACAATACACAACGTAAGCAACAACGCTTGATTTGAAACAATTCACGTCGGTTTTTTGTGAGGCCGTGGTATCACTCCGGTCGAGCCGGCCCATTCGTGCCGAATCATGGCTCTTCCACACTTATCCCGTATGACGTCACACACATTAGGTACACACGGCTACACATCGAATCACCGATAAAACCAATTTATCATGGTCTTGCTTTATACGATCTTTCCGTACAATCGACGGTCAGATTATACTGGTTTTGCATAGCTTGATATGTGTCCCAGACAGTTAACAAAGCATAGAGAATTAATTGTTAAGACAATATGTGCGGTCGACCCACGAATCATTAACAAGAACCGGCCATATTACTTTGAAATAAGGTCCAATTTCGAGTATAAGTCTAATGAACCCTAATCTAGGACGATCGATTAGGTCTGTATATTGTATGTTAGAGTAAGGCGTTTTATTAATCGATAAAAGTAAGTTTTTAATTCGATTCTGAAGAATAGGTCTTCAGAATCGAATTATCGAATCAAATTCCAGATATTTAAATAATAATAACGCATTTTGAAATTGAAAATCGTTGTTGAATTTATGTATTTTTAATGTCAATGTATTGTTTAATTCCCCGAAAGGGGTAGGTAGAGATGCTCATTACAATTAGATAAACAATGTAAAACCTACCTTTCACTTGGTATAATCTGTCATATATAATTTGACTGCCTCATTGGCCGAGTGGTCGCAAGTGCGAATGCCAGGCAAGGGGTCTCGGGTTCGATTCCCGGGTTGGGAAAAGATTTACTGGTTTTTTTTTTTAATCCCAGTAGTAGCACGGAGTCTGGAGTAGTGCCCGGTATATGGCAATAGGCTCACCCACAATTACATGGGACTCATAAGATAAATAGTAAAAAGTGGGTATTACATTGTACGGTGGCATTCAGTGCCGTAACTTGTACCTCTGCCTACCCCTTCGACGAAGAAAGGCGTGATGTTATGTTGGTATGATATATGTATTACCGTACCGTTATACCTCTATATACCGTGCTATTGGTGAAGGTGAATAATCATGGTAATTTTCAAAAACAAAAAACTATCAACCCGGAAAAAGCTAAGGACTCAAACGCTAAAAATTTTAGAAATTGTCGTCGACGTCCTCCATTGTAGACCGCATCATTATCGTTTTCCACCAGGCGAGATAGTCGTCAAACGTCAGCCCATCAAATATATAAAAAAAACACACACAACTACGTGCTGTTATGAACAAGGCCTTATTGTAAATTACAATCTAATCAATCCTTACATTGTTGTTAACAAAGAACCATACTTGTAAATTGCAATCTAAACATTCTTTACATTGTTGTTAACAAAGCCCTATACTTTTAAATTAACATCTAAACAATCGTTATATTGGTATTAACAAAGATCTAAGCACTCCTTACATTGTTATGAACAAAGCCCTAACATGTAAATTGCAATTAAAGTAATCCGTACATCCTGTGGCACTTATATGCGCAAGCATAATTTATCGACGTATAGTTACTTTAGAAATAGTTACTCAACTACTAACACCGTTCTATATCACACAATAATTATTGTTAGTCGAAAGTTGTGAAGTGTAAAATAAAGAAATTATTAGCAGCACTTATGGTGTGATTTCCAAAAGGGACTCCCGGAGCGCCATCCAAACAGTGCGTAATAATGCTATTTCATTCAACTAATTTACTATCAGAGTCGTGTCTAGACGACCATGGCAATAATTTCGACAAAAGATAAAAGAAATCGGTCTGCAGCTGATATTTTCGGTGAAGTTCGTTAGTCGAGAATTGAGGCCAAGGCGAAACACGAGACTGACAAGTGTGACAGGTCAGTCTCTGGATTTTATGTTGTAGATTTTAACACAACAGTTGATTCAATATAAAATAGATTTTGGTCATCATTATCTAGATCAACATTAATTAACACCCCGAGAGACAGCCTCCTTGGCCGATTGGTCGTAAATGCGACTACCGGGCAAAGGGTCTCGGGTTCGATTTCAGGGTCGGGCAAGTATTACTGTATTTAAAAAAAAAATTCAGTAGTAGCACGGAGTCTCGAATGGTGCCCGATATATGGCAATAGGCTCACCCTCTATTACATGGGACTCATAACATAAATAGTGAAAAGTGAGTTGTACAGTGGTATTAGTAAAGTGCGTCTCTGCCTACCCCTTCCGGGATAAATG